TACTCTCTCTGCTCCACTCTCTCTCTCTGCTCCACTCTCTCTCTGCTCCACTCTTCTCTCTGCTCCTCTCTCTCTCTCTGCTCCACTCTCTCTCTGCTCCACTCTCTCTCTGCTCACCCTCTCTCTGCTCCACTCTCTCTCTGCTCCACTCTCTCTCTCTGCTCCACTCTCTCTCTGCTCCACTCTCTCTCTCTCTGCTCCTCTCTCTCTCTGCTCCACTCTCTCTGCTCCACTCTCTCTCTGCTCCACTCTCTCTCTGCTCCACTCTCTCTCTGCTCCACTCTCTCTCTCTGCTCCACTCTCTCTCTGCTCCACTCTCTCTCTCTCTCGCTCCACTCTCTCTCTCTGCTCCACTCTCTCTCTCTGCTCCACTCTCTCTCTGCTCCACTCTCTCTCTCTGCTCCACTCTCTCTCTGCTCCACTCTCTCTCTCTGCTCCACTCTCTCTCTCTGCTCCACTCTCTCTCTCTCTGCTCCACTCTCTCTCTGCTCCACTCTCTCTCTCTCTGCTCCACTCTCTCTCTGCTCCACTCTCTCTGCTCCACTCTCTCTGCTCCACTCTCTCTCTCTGCTCTCCACTCTCTCTCTGCTCCACTCTCTCTCTGCTCCACTCTCTCTCTGCTCCACTCTCTCTCTGCTCCACTCTCTCTCTGCTGCACTCTCTCTCTCTGCTCCTCTCTCTCTCTGCTCCACTCTCTCTCTGCTGCACTCTCTCTCTCTGCTCCTCTCTCTCTCTGCTCCACTCTCTCTCTGCTCCTCTCTCTCTCTGCTCCACTCTCTCTCTGCTCCACTCTCTCTCTGCTCCACTCTCTCTCTGCTCCACTCTCTCTCTGCTGCACTCTCTCTCTCTGCTCCACTCTCTCTCTGCTCCACTCTCTCTCTGCTCCACTCTCTCTCTCTGCTCCACTCTCTCTCTGCTCCACTCTCTCTGCTCCACTCTCTCTGCTCCACTCTCTCTCTGCTCCACTCTCTCTCTGCTCCACTCTCTCTCTCTGCTCCACTCTCTCTCTCTGCTCCACTCTCTCTCTGCTCCACTCTCTCTCTGCTGCACTCTCTCTCTCTGCTCCTCTCTCTCTCTGCTCCACTCTCTCTCTGCTGCACTCTCTCTCTCTGCTCCACTCTCTCTCTGCTCCACTCTCTCTCTCTGCTCCACTCTCTCTCTGCTTCACTCTCTCTCTCTGCTCCATCTCTCTCTGCTCTCTCTCTGCTCCACTCTCTCTGCTCCACTCTCTCTGCTCCACTCTCTCTCTGCTCCACTCTCTCTCTGCTCCACTCTCTCTCTGCTCCACTCTCTCTCTCTGCTCCACTCTCTCTCTCTGCTCCACTCTCTCTCTCTGCTCCACTCTCTCTCTGCTCCACTCTCTCTCTCTGCTCCACTCTCTCTCTCTGCTCCACTCTCTCTCTCTGCTCCACTCTCTCTCTCTGCTCCACTCTCTCTCTCTCTGCTCCACTCTCTCTCTGCTCCACTCTCTCTCTCTGCTCCACTCTCTCTCTGCTCCACTCTCTCTGCTCCACTCTCTCTGCTCCACTCTCTCTCTCTGCTCCACTCTCTCTCTGCTCCACTCTCTCTCTGCTCCACTCTCTCTCTGCTCCACTCTCTCTCTGCTCCACTCTCTCTCTGCTGCACTCTCTCTCTCTGCTCCTCTCTCTCTCTGCTCCACTCTCTCTCTGCTGCATCTCTCTCTCTGCTCCTCTCTCTCTCTGCTCACTCTCTCTCTGCTCCTCTCTCTCTGCTCCACTCTCTCTCTGCTCCACTCTCTCTCTGCTCCACTCTCTCTCTGCTCCACTCTCTCTCTCTGCTCTCTCTCTGCTCCACTCTCTCTCTGCTCCACTCTCTCTCTGCTCCACTCTCTCTCTGCTCCACTCTCTCTCTGCTCCACTCTCTCTGCTCCACTCTCTCTGCTCCACTCCTCTCTGCTCCACTCTCTCTCTGCTCCACTCTCTCTCTCTGCTCCACTCTCTCTCTCTGCTCCACTCTCTCTCTGCTCCACTCTCTCTCTGCTGCACTCTCTCTCTCTGCTCCTCTCTCTCTCTGCTCCACTCTCTCTCTGCTGCACTCTCTCTCTCTGCTCCACTCTCTCTCTGCTCCACTCTCTCTCTCTGCTCCACTCTCTCTCTGCTCACTCTCTCTCTCTGCTCCACTCTCTCTCTGCTCCACTCTCTCTGCTCCACTCTCTCTGCTCACTCTCTCTGCTCCACTCTCTCTCTGCTCCACTCTCTCTCTGCTCCACTCTCTCTCTCTGCTCCACTCTCTCTCTCTGCTCCACTCTCTCTCTGCTGCCACTCTCTCTCTGCTGCACTCTCTCTCTCTGCTCCTCTCTCTCTCTGCTCCACTCTCTCTCTGCTGCACTCTCTCTCTCTGCTCCACTCTCTCTCTCTGCTCCACTCTCTCTCTCTCTGCTCCCACTCTCTCTCTCTGCTCCACTCTCTCTCTGCTCCACTCTCTCTGCTCCACTCTCTCTCTCTGCTCCACTCTCTCTCTGCTCCACTCTCTCTCTGCTGCACTCTCTCTCTCTGCTCCTCTCTCTCTCTGCTCCACTCTCTCTCTGCTGCACTCTCTCTCTCTGCTCCTCTCTCTCTCTGCTCCACTCTCTCTCTGCTCTCTCTCTCTCTGCTCCACTCTCTCTCTCTGCTCCACTCTCTCTCTCCACTGCTCCACTCTCTCAGTCTGCTCTGACCCAGATTCAGACCAGTATGGGTTTCTCTGCCAGAGAGAGAGGAAGAGAGAGACCAGAGAGAGAGACCACAGAGAGGGAGACCAGAGAGAGAGAGAGAGGAGAGAGAGCAGAGAGAGATACCAGAGAGAGAGCAGAGAGAGAGAGAGAGAGACCACAGAGAGGGAGACCAGAGAGAGAGAGAGAAGAGAGAGAGACCAGAGAGAGACCAGAGAGAGAGACCACAGAGAGGGAGACCAGAGAGGGAGAGCAGAGAGAGAGAGAGCAGAGAGACAGAGCAGAGAAAGACCAGAGAGAGACCAGAGACAGACCAGAGACAGAGAGAGACTAGAGAGAGACCAGAGAGAGACCAGGGAGAGACAAGAGCAGAGACCAGAGACAGAGACCAGAGAGAGACCAGAGAGAGACCAGAGAGAGAGACCAGAGAGAGACCAGAGAGAGAGACCAGAGAGAGACCAGAGACAGAGAGAGACTAGGGAGAGACCAGAGAGAGACCAGAGACAGAGAGAGACCAGAGAGAGACCAGGGAGAGACCAGAGACAGAGACTAGAGACAGAGACCAGAGAGAGACCAGAGAGAGACCAGAGACAGACCAGAGAGAGACCAGGGAGAGACTAAAGACAGAGACCAGAGAGAGACCAGAGAGAGACCAGAGAGAAACCAGAGTGAGACCAGAGAGAGACCAGAGACAGAGACCAGAGAGAGACCAGAGAGAGAGACTAGAGACAGAGACCAGAGACAGAGACCAGAGAGAGACCAGAGTGAGACCAGAGAGAGAGACCAGAGAGAGACCAGAGAGAGAGACCAGAGAGAGACCAGAGTGAGACCAGAGAGAGAGACCAGAGAGAGACCAGAGAGAGAGACCAGAGAGAGACTAGAGACAGAGACCAGAGACAGAGACCAGAGAGAGACCAGAGAGAGACCAGAGAGAGAGACCAGAGAGAGACCAGAGAGAGACCAGAGAACCCTTGGTCCATAGGGAGCAGATTGACACTGTCCAGAAATGTGAATAAATGTCCTTCTCTCTCATAAGTTTCTTCTGACTTTACTTTTCAGAGTCTGTGTCCTCCATGTTTGAACCACTTCGACTCAGAATACTAAATACTAAATTCTAACTAATACTAACCTATATCACGTCTTGCTACAGCATCGACTCAGACTTACACCGACACTAATCCGTTTCTTTAAAGATGGCGTCCGGGCCTCGCTGACCGCACACAGGCTGATAATGGAGCCACGGCGTCGGGAGAAGGCAGGCGTCCTGAGCCTCCTGCCACAGCGCCTGATTAAAGGGATTGTCTCTCGGCGCGCTCGTAATTAAAGGGATTTGCAGAAAGAGAGACACATCGGGCTCATGCTAATGCCAGGGCTTTATTAGTCGCGTGTTTAGAGAGAGAGACGGTGAGTTCATCTGCGGTTAGCTTAGCGTGTGTTGTTACGGCGAGTGATGCGAAACTCATTTACAAATGTATTATCCGACAACGCTGTACCTGTGCTGAGACCAGCAAGAGACCAGCAAGAGACCATCAAGAGACCAGAGAAAGACCAGAGAGAGACCAGATAGAGACCCGAGAGAGACCAGCAAAAGACCAGATAGAGAGGAGAGAGAAGAGAGAGAGAGCAAAGAGAGGGCAGAGAGAGAGACCAGCAAAAGACCAGAGAGAGACAGATAGAGAGCAGAGAGAGGGCAGAGAGAGAGACCAGAGAGAGACCAGAGAGAGACCAGAGAGAGACCAGATAGAGACCAGAGAGAGACCAGAGAGTGACCAGCAAGAGACCAGAGAGAGACCAGAGAGAGACCAGAGAGAGCAGAGAGAGAGCAGAGAGACCAGAGAGAAAGACCAGATAGAGACCAGAGAGAAAGACCAGAGAGAAAGACCAGAGAGAAAGACCAGAGGGATTTGCAGAAAGAACGACACATTGAGGTCATGGTAAAGCCACGGTTTTATTAGTTGCGTGTTAGCTTAGAGACGGTGAGTTCATCTGCGGTTAGCTTAGCATGTGTTGTTACGGGGAGAGAGTAGAACGTGTGTAGAACGCATTTATGGACATTCCTTCTTTCTCTTCAACGGTCGTTTTGTGAGACATTGATAATCGTAATTTTTAGCTGTTTTTGTGAACTAAGAATTTCCATTATTTATTTATTTAAGTCTTTCCTCCTTGCCACTGTCAGACTGTACAACGAACAACCCCAGAATGTGTTATACAGAATTGGGAGTAGGTTTTATGGGGGACTTTTGTTCACGTTTTTAGTGGTTGAGGAAAACCGGAGCACCGACCGTTTCCCTGACGACACAAATGCGCTACATAAATAAAGATGACTCACTTGAATCCCGGCGAGACGGTGGAGCAGGACCCGGACCTGAGCCAGACGCAGTAAGGATCACGAGAGGCCAGACAGCTCCTGCACAGAACAGGAAGAAGGTTCAGTCTCCAACGGCACCAACACAGAGTAGAGTAGAGTAGAGTGGAGTAGAGTAGAGTAGAGTGGAGTAGAGTTGAATAGAGTAGAGTAGAGTAGAGTAGAGTAGCATAGAGTAGAGTAGGGTAGGGTAGGGTAGGGTAGGGTAGGGTAGGGTAGAGTAGAGTAGAGTAGAGTAGAGTAGAGTAGAGTAGCGTAGAGTAGAGTAGAGTAGAGTAGAGTAGGGTAGAGACGAGTAGAGTAGAGTAGAGTAGAGTAGCGTAGGGTAGAGTAGAGTAGAGTAGAGTAGTGAGTAGAGTAGAGTAGAGTAGAGTAGAGTAGGGTAGAGTAGAGTAGAGTAGAGAAGGGTAGAGGTAGAGTAGAGTAGAGTAGAGTAGGGTAGGGTAGAGTAGAGTAGAGTAGAGTAGAGAAAGGTAGAGGTAGAGTAGAGTAGAGTAGAGTAGAGTAGTGAGTAGAGTAGGGTAGAGTAGAGTAGAGTAGACAAGGGTAGAGTAGAGTAGAGTAGAGTAGAGTAGAGTAGAGTAGGGTAGAGTAGAGTAGAGTAGAGTAGAGTAGAGTAGTGAGTAGAGTAGAGTAGAGTAGGGTAGAGTAGAGTAGAGTAGAGTAGAGTAGAGAAGGGTAGAGTAGAGTAGAGTAGAGAGTAAAGTAAAGTAGAGATTCATAGCTGAAATAGAAAATGATAATTAAATAACTATAACTTGTAAAGAAAATGTTAGTTCCCACTTCAGAACATAAACAATGAAATGGTTGTTTTCCGGAGACAATAGACTTTAAAATGAAGTATAACGTGCCATTGTTACCATCAAAACTGCAAGGTACTGTGAAAATAAAAATGGAAAATCAAATCAAACAAAAATAGTCTTGAGTTTGAGGGTTAGCTTTTACAGTCTGTGGCTAAAGTTGTAGTTTTTAGAAGTCTGTCCTTATTATGCTAAAGCTAGAGATCTCATACTCCCTCTTCTGTCTGTATCTGTCTGTAACTGTCTGTATCTGTCTGTATCTGTCTGTAACTGTCTGTAACTGTCTGTAACTGTCTGTAACTGTCTGTAACTGTCTGTAACTGTCTGTAACTGTCTGTACCTGTCTGGAACTGTCTGTATCTGTCTGTAACTGTCTGTAACTGTCTGTAACTGTCTGTAACTGTCTGTAACTGTCTGTAACTGTCTGTACCTGTCTGGAACTGTCTGTATCTGTCTGTAACTGTCTGTAACTGTCTGTAACTGTCTGTATCTGTCTGTAACTGTCTGTAACTGTCTGTACCTGTCTGGAACTGTCTGTAACTGTCTGTATCTGTCTGTAATTGTCTGTATCTGTCTGTAACTGTCTGTATCTGTCTGTAACTGTCTGTATCTGTCTGTAACTGTCTGTATCTGTCTGTATCTGTCTGTAACTGTCTGTATCTGTCTGTAACTGTCTGTAACTGTCTGTATCTGTCTGTATCTGTCTGTAACTGTCTGTATCTGTCTGGAACTGTCTGTAACTGTCTGTAACTGTCTGTACCTGTCTGTAACTGTCTGGAACTGTCTGTAACTGTCTGTAACTGTCTGTAACTGTCTGTATCTGTCTGTATCTGTCTGTAACTGTCTGTAACTGTCTGTACCTGTCTGTAACTGTCTGTATCTGTCTGTAACTGTCTGTAACTGTCTGTAACTGTCTGTAACTGTCTGTATCTGTCTGTATCTGTCTGTAACTGTCTGTAACTGTATGTAACTGTCTGTATCTGTCTGTCTGTAACTGTATGTAACTGTCTGTAACTGTCTGTATCTGTCTGTAACTGTCTGTAACTGTCTGTAACTGTCTGTATCTGTCTGTAACTGTCTGTATCTGTCTGTAACTGTCTGTAACTGTCTGTATCTGTCTGTATCTGTCTGTAACTGTCTGTAACTGTCTGTATCTGTCTGTATCTGTCTGTAACTGTCTGTATCTGTCTGGAACTGTCTGTAACTGTCTGTAACTGTCTGTACCTGTCTGTAACTGTCTGGAACTGTCTGGAACTGTCTGTAACTGTCTGTAACTGTCTGTATCTGTCTGTATCTGTCTGTAACTGTCTGTAACTGTCTGTACCTGTCTGTAACTGTCTGTATCTGTCTGTAACTGTCTGTAACTGTCTGTAACTGTCTGGAACTATCTGTAACTGTCTGTAACGGTCTGTAACTCTCTGGAACTTTCTGTAACTGTCTGGAACTGTCTGTATCTGTCTGTAACTGTCTGTAACTGTCTGTAACTGTCTGTCTGTAACTGTCTGTCTGTAACTGTCTGTAACTGTCTGTCTGTAACTGTCTGGAACTGTCTGTATCTGTCTGTATCTGTCTGGAACTGTCTGGAACTGTCTGTATCTGTCTGTAACTGTCTGTAACTGTCTGTATCTGTCTGTAACTGTCTGTAACTGTCTGTAACTGTATGTAACTGTCTGTAACTGTCTGTATCTGTCTGTAACTGTCTGTAACTGTCTGTATCTGTCTGTAATTGTCTGTAACCGTCTGTAACTGTCTGTAACTGTCTGTAACTGAACTGTCTGGAACTGTCTGTAACTGTCTGTATCTGTCTGTAATTGTCTGTAACCGTCTGGTCTGTAACTGTCTGTAACTGAACTGTCTGGAACTGTCTGTCTGTAACTGTCTGTAACTGTCTGGAACTGTCTGGAACTGTCTGTAACTGTCTGTAACTGCCTGTACCTGTCTGGAACTGTCTGGAACTGTCTGTAACTGTCTGTAACTGTCTGGAACTGTCTGTAACTGTCTGTAACTGTCTGGAACTGTCTGTAACTGTCTGGAACTGTCTGGAACTGTCTGGAACTGTCTGGAACTGTCTGGAACTGTCTGTAACTGTCTGTAACTGTCTGTAACGGTCTGTAACTGTATGTAACTGTCTGTAACGGTCTGTAACTGTATGTAACTGTCTGTAACTGTCTGTATCTGTCTGTAACTGTCTGTAACTGTCTGTACCTGTCTGTATCTGTCTGTAACTGTCTGTAACTGTCTGGAACTGTCTGGAACTGTCTGTAACTGTCTGTAACTGTCTGGAACTGTCTGTAACTGTCTGTAACTGTCTGGAACTGTCTGTAACTGTCTGGAACTGTCTGGAACTGTCTGGAACTGTCTGGAACTGTCTGGAACTGTCTGGAACTGTCTGTAACTGTCTGTAACGGTCTGTAACTGTATGTAACTGTCTGTAACGGTCTGTAACTGTATGTAACTGTCTGTAACTGTCTGTATCTGTCTGTAACTGTCTGTAACTGTCTGTACCTGTCTGTATCTGTCTGTAACTGTCTGTATCTGTCTGTAACTGTCTGTACCTGTCTGTATCTGTCTGTAATTGTCTGTAACTGTCTGTAACTGTATGTAACTGTCTGTAACTGTCTGTATCTGTCTGTAACTGTCTGTAACTGTCTGTATCTGTCTGTAACTGTCTGTAACTGTCTGTATCTGTCTGTAATTGTCTGTAACCGTCTGTAACTGTCTGTAACTGTCTGTAACTGAACTGTCTGGAACTGTCTGGAACTGTCTGTCTGTAACTGTCTGGAACTGTCTGGAACTGTCTGTAACTGAACTGTCTGGAACTGTCTGTAACTGCCTGTAACTGTCTGTACCTGTCTGGAACTGTCTGTATCTGTCTGTAACTGTCTGTAACTGTCTGTAACTGTCTGTAACTGTCTGGAACTGTCTGTACCTGTCTGGAACTGTCTGTATCTGTCTGTAACTGTCTGTAACTGTCTGTAACTGTCTGTATCTGTCTGTAACTGTCTGTAACTGTCTGTCTGTAACTGTCTGTAACTGTCTGTAACTGTCTGTAACTGTCTGTAACTGTCTGTAACTGTCTGTAACTGTCTGGAACTGTCTGTACCTGTCTGGAACTGTCTGTATCTGTCTGTAACTGTCTGTAACTGTCTGTAACTGTCTGTATCTGTCTGTAACTGTCTGTAACTGTCTGTACCTGTCTGGAACTGTCTGTAACTGTCTGTATCTGTCTGTAATTGTCTGTATCTGTCTGTAACTGTCTGTATCTGTCTGTAACTGTCTGTAACTGTCTGTATCTGTCTGTATCTGTCTGTAATTGTCTGTAACTGTCTGTAACTGTCTGTAACTGTCTGTAACTGTCTGTAACTGTCTGGAACTGTCTGTAACTGTCTGTATCTGTCTGTATCTGTCTGTAACTGTCTGTAACTGTCTGTACCTGTCTGTAACTGTCTGTATCTGTCTGTAACTGTCTGTAACTGTCTGTAACTGTCTGTATCTGTCTGTAACTGTCTGTAACTGTCTGTCTGTAACTGTCTGTAACTGTCTGTAACTGTCTGTAACTGTCTGTAACTGTCTGTACCTGTCTGGAACTGTCTGTATCTGTCTGTAACTGTCTGTAACTGTCTGTAACTGTCTGTAACTGTCTGTAACTGTCTGTATCTGTCTGTAATTGTCTGTAACCGTCTGTAACTGTCTGTAACTGTCTGTAACTGAACTGTCTGGAACTGTCTGGAACTGTCTGTCTGTAACTGTCTGGAACTGTCTGGAACTGTCTGTAACTGAACTGTCTGGAACTGTCTGTAACTGCCTGTAACTGTCTGTACCTGACTGGAACTGTCTGTATCTGTCTGTAACTGTCTGTAACTGTCTGTAACTGTCTGTAACTGTCTGTAACTGTCTGGAACTGTCTGTACCTGTCTGGAACTGTCTGTATCTGTCTGTAACTGTCTGTAACTGTCTGTATCTGTCTGTAACTGTCTGTAACTGTCTGTCTGTAACTGTCTGTAACTGTCTGTAACTGTCTGTAACTGTCTGTACCTGTCTGGAACTGTCTGTATCTGTCTGTAACTGTCTGTAACTGTCTGTAACTGTCTGTAACTGTCTGTAACTGTCTGGAACTGTCTGTACCTGTCTGGAACTGTCTGTATCTGTCTGTAACTGTCTGTAACTGTCTGTAACTGTCTGTATCTGTCTGTAACTGTCTGTAACTGTCTGTACCTGTCTGGAACTGTCTGTAACTGTCTG